TTTGCTCAAGAAAAGTGACGATTGTTACAGTGAACGACAGTCGGTCTCTTGCTTGGGAAACCTCACCACTTCCTGCTCATACAGAAACAGTCCGTCAGCTGGTAAAGCACATTAGGCAATGTGACAGTGACCTACCAAGGACAGTCTTGAAGCACTTTCAGAGTCTAAGAAGGATGGCAGAGCTTTGTCTTTCTGCAGGGAAGGGGATGGAAGGAAGCACATTCATTGAGGGGGAGAGGGACAGCAGCCGGAGCACCTGAAGGCATCCTGAGTCTTCCCAAATGTCTGCAGGGAGCCTGGCTTCTTGTGGCTTGCAGCTCTCTGTTCTGGGAATGGCAACCCAGACTGTCATTATGACCCATGAGGACATAACCACTACGCTCTAGAGAGGGACAGCGGGGTCTGCAGCTGGCACCTTGACAATGGTAAGGCCATTTGTACTTTTCTCACCAGCAGGCTCGGGGTAGAAGTACGGCCTCAGGGGCTCAGTGAACTCACTTTTGAAAGTGTGGAGAATGGTACATTCAGTCACATTGTAGAACGAGATCAACCCTTCCTTATACTGCAGAAAAATGCCCACCCTCAGGAGGGGTCCTGTGACCTGGAGAACGTGGTGGGAGACGGAGAGGGCCTTGTACGTGCCATCTTTCAGGCACAGGGTCCAGAACCCGCTCTGGGTCTTAGCAGAGATGTACTGTCCTTTGCGGTTCACTGACTCCACACAGATCCCGACGGTCCACTTGCTGTTCCCTGCTACTTCCACCTCCCAGTAGTGGCTGCCACTGGAGAAACGGTTCCGACCCAGCACCGCTGGCATTGTATCAAATCGCTCAGGTTTGTCCGGCACGTCCTGCTTTTTGGTCACGGATTTCACACACTTTCCATCAGGTGACACGGCAAGGTAAGGGTGAGCAGTGTCTTTATCCAGTATTATGTCTTCTGCAGAAGGAAGGAGAATTAATGGTAGGATTTCCACTAGAACCATCCAGATTGTAAGACAAGGCAAAAACAGGTCACACTTGAGGTTCTTTCCATAAGTAAGGACAGGATCCGTATGCTATTTCCCATGAGGCCATTCCACAACCAAACACAAAACGGTTCTGACTCAGTGTGAACTATCCCTGAACTATTTCATCTCTACAACAGACGTGAGGTGTTTCATCACAGGTTCCAAAGGAACTGGTGATAGGTTGGGACGACCATGGTTAGGGCCTTGACATAGATAACGACAGTACAGATCTCAGGATATTTCTTCAATATTTAAGCAAGGTCTACCCCACCCACCTGGGTGGATTCAAAGGGATAGAGATGGCTGTGGAGGCCCTTACATGCAGAGCAGAGAGACAGAGCGTGCCTGAGGGCCCAAGCAGCGGGAGGTGGGCGGTGGACAGCAGCATATCAGCAGGCAGAGGACCCAGCCAGAAAGGCAGCACTCTGAGGGAGGGAGGCCCCACCAGAGCCTGTCTTCAGGAACGGGGCCTCTGGACAAAGTGGAGGGCAAGGGAGAGAGTTGAGAAGGCATGTTCAGAGGCAGCTCCTTGTGGAGGGTTGACAGTCGAACAGATGAGAGGGTACCCACGGTGGGGGTGGCAGGGACTGGATCCACAGAGGCGGCCCTCTCCACCTTCTCTTTTCTACAAGGAGAAATGGTGGTGTTTGTGCAGGTTGATCAGGGGAACCTGAGAGGCATGAGAGCTCTGAGACTTTAGGAGAAGAGAGAAAAGGAAACCAGCCCGTCTCACCAGTCTGCTTGATCTAGACAGTCTTGTGGCTGTGGAATTGCTGAGGTCAGGACAGAGAGAGGACTGATTTCTCACTTACCTAGAAAGTTATTTCAGATCAGGTGACACCATGTTACCCCTGTTTGCACAGCTACTGCACTGTGGTCTTTTCTAAAACGAAACCTTTCCTAGTCAGCAAATTGGTGCTTATTGGAAAGAACGTAAGCCCAGAATCAGATTATGTTGACAGTTCAAATGTGTGCTAGAGATGGGGAGGGAAAACACTTCTCTTTTTTCACAGGGGGACTGCTGGAACTGCAGATGACATTGCAAGCACAAAGTCAGTCTTCCCCACAGAGTAAATCACTTTGCACTTACCTGCAAATTTTCGGATTTTATTCAGACCTGCAATTGATGAAGATGTTCAGGGTTAACTGGGTGACAGGGAAGGACAGGGCTGTTGTAGGTAATGGCACATGGCACATCAATTGGGAATCCTGGCTTCACTTACCCTGTTCTCCAAGGAATTTTCTTTCTTCTGCAACAGTAAATAGGAAGAGGTAAGTGTTCTAAGTGGTCACAGGACACATTTATAATTTACCTTATGATAGAGACACAGGACTTACCAAGCTCTTTGTTAATTTTATCTAAAACAAATAAAACAGGTAGAAAGATATTAATTTACAAAATTCTGAGACATTTGATCCTTAGCTTTAATTTTATATGACTTGTGTGGCATTACTGGATATGTGGAACATATCTCTGGGCTCAGGGATAGAAGGAACTGGCTGCCTGAGACCACACAGGGCATCTCTGGGCTCAGGACTGCATGGGCTGGCTGCCCAGAACACATGCGAGGCACACAGAGAGCCAGAGCTTGTCCGCCCTGGAGGTCACTGAATCTGCTCCTTAGATCTAGTGTCAGAAACTGCCATGCACTGGTTCATTGCTCTTCATGGCAATTATTTTTATTTAGTATGTATTCATATTATTAGAGAGAAAAAGGGAGAGAGGGAGAGGGAGAGGGAGGGAAGAGAGAGAGAGAGAGAGAGAGAGAGAGAGAGAGAGAGAGAGAGAGAGAATCAATTCTATTACATTTTCAATAGTTAGATACAAAATGTTAAAATATCTTTTTACTTATATATTATATTTTAATTCATAACAGCAAAAAAGACCATCCAATAATGCTACTTCATCATCTTTTCTATTCATTTTAAACTTTATTTCATATTTTCCATGAAAGTAACAAGCATAGTTTAATGCCTGAATATTATTTATTTTTGTAAATAATGACTAGTGGCCTAGTCTTTTCTATTATGGATTTAATTTTTTTTCTTATTTTGATCAAAGCAGACACACAAGTAAAGATTATCTATATTTCTCATCTGTGAGATTATAAAGGCTAAGAAAAATAACAAATATTTTTGGTCTTGCTTTACAAGGTCAGCCAGGACCCTCTCTAAGGGCCTCGCCACTTGAGTGAGTCACCTACCCTATCAGTTAGGGGGACCAAGAGGACCCTGGAGGCCAGGAAGCCATCTGCAAACATTTTGCAGAGGAGTGTCTTTGGGGAGGGAAATGTCCTTAACAGTTCAAGGCAAGCCCCATGTGGTCAGCAAGACTTTGACCCATTCTGTCAGATGACACAACTAGTAGAGGAAGAGACTGAAGGGGCCAAGAGGCTTCTCAAAAGTTTCTAAGAGTAGGCCTGAAAAGTCTCAGCTTACTGAGCAGTAGAAGGAGAGGGGTCAGCACAGGCGTCACCTACTTGGTCTTGAACACTCATCAGGGAAGTTCAACAATGTAATAACAAGAGGATGAATGAGAAGTGGGACAACAGGGATGCAGGGAGACTTGAGAGGAAGACAGAAGCCTTTTAATGTGATGCTATGTGCAATTGTGGAAGCTCTAGCAGAAGTTAAGTAAAGCCCCCAAGTCACGGAGAAGGGGTTCTCACGGACGGTTGCCTGGCACCAAAGCCCTTCCACCAGACTCCTGCACAGAGAAGGTGGAGCAAATAGCTTGGACAGGGGCCCTGTATTTAGACAAAGACAAGAAAATATGATCCCAACTATATATTTTTAGTAGCCCATATTTGTGGAACCATCTAAAAGGAGAGAGAAGCCCTGCATGACTTATTTAACTGGTAACTTCAGACTTTGGCTCACTTATATTCCGCTTTATAATTTATCATGGTGCTTCTACTTTCAGGCTTAACTTCTGATCCTTTTTGCTTTTATGTTCCAGCTATTGTTTAAAGACAAGTTTAGCACTGGGACAAGGAACCTGCTGACCAGACTGGCCAACACTCCAGTCCCTCAGGACTGAGAATGGGCAGAGGACAGGAAAGATGGTGACAAGGACTTAAGATTCTTCACTTTGTCCTGTAAATGTCTGTGGGGGGCTAAAAGGGGGACTAAAGACTCGGCCTCTCTGCTTGCATTTTACACCAACCTTCTTTACTCCAAAGTCACCCTGGATTCCAGGAAAAAGGGATGATGGATGGACCTCATGTGAAGAGTAGAGTCCACCTCAGCTTCCCCAGCTCAGGCAACAGCAACTTCCTTATTGGACAAGGCCCTGTGGGACCAGCCTGAGATAAGGATGGGCAGGGCACACCTGACCAACACCTCCTGCATTGGCAGCTGTGCAAAGCCTCCAGCTGTGTAAGCTCCTCACACTGGACCTCAGTCCCCTTTCTGTAAATCTTCAAAGTCCTTGTCAGCCCTGAAGACAGGGCTAAGGACATGGGTCCCCGCATCTTTCCAGAGTAGATGATCAAAGTTCCTTTTCAAGTTTTTTAAAACAAAAAAACAAAATAAAAAACCATTCAATATCATTAGCCACAAGGAGTAACTGCAGGTCAATACCACCATGAGAAACCATCTCACCCCAGTTAGAATGGCTGTGATCGAGACAGAGCAAAACATTGTGGTGAGTATGTGGAGAAAAAAAGACCTTAATGCCTTATATGTAAAAAGATGAACTGAAAGTAGAAGAGGAAGTATTCTGGAGGGGGAATAGAAGGAAGGAGAAGCCAGGGTAGAGGTAGGACAGAGAAAATCAAAGCACAATAATAGACACATGAAGATAATGGCATGAGGAAGCCCATCAATGTGCTCCATCAATCTGCAGTAGAAATTATGTTATCTTCCAGCTTTAAATCTTAATGTTGTTGTTGTTGTTATTATTATTATTATTATTATTTGGTACCAGAAATTGAAGTCAGGGGCAATCAAACACAGAGCCACATTACCAGCCCTATTTTCTATTTTATTTCTAGTCACGGTCTCACTGAGTTGCATAATGCCTTGCTAAGTTGCTGAGGCTGACTTTGAACTCACAACCCTCCTTTCTCAGCCTCCTGAGCTGCTAGGATTACAGGTGTGCACCACTGTGCCCAGCTAGATATTATTTTATCAGTGAAGTTTTAGGCTTGGTATCTGTTACTCCTTTGTTCCTTTTTCCCTCTTATATAATAACTGGAAAAAAGTATACCTGTCCCATGTCTTTCCTTATATTTGGAATCATGAACCTTGCTGATTTCACAGGCTCTGGGCTGGAGAAGAATTGTCCCCATGTGACTCACACCTGGAGTCTTCTTCCCTGTGTCTGATTCAGATGAGACTCTGGTCCTTAGACTTTTCCTTTGGTGATAGAAAAAATTAGGACTTTGAGGATATTGAGACAGAATAAATGTATTTTGCATGGGAGAATGACATAGATGTTGGGGACCAGAAATTTTCACCATGGAAAGCTGTGGTCTGAATGTCCCTGGAAGTGCATGTGGAAGAAATAATCTGCTATGCAGCTGTGTTGGAAGACAGAACTATTACTAGGCAATTCTGTAATGGGAGAACCGTCCTCATGAAGGAGTTAGTGCCATGATCATGGTGTGGGCTGGTTCTCTTGGGAGTTCCTGATAAAGGAGTGGGCGAGGCACCTTCCCCTCTCTATGCTGCACATGAAATCTTCTGCCTTTCCACCTTCCACCATGAAATGATGCAGCAAGTTGGCCCTCACAGGATGCTGGTGCCATGACCTTGGGCCATTGTAAGAAGTAAATCTGTGCTTTAAATAAATCAAGGTACATATGAAATACCAGTCTCTGGTATTCTATTATAGGAGCATAAAATAGATTAATACAATATGACCAATTTAAGTAACATAAACTATAGTTATGAGCTTTTCTTCTTCCATGCATGATGCTTTTCTTTTCCTTATACAAGGGCAGTTTGTTTGCATTCTTTTAAAAATGCATTTGAGCCTGGCACAGTGGTGCACACCTGTTATCCCAGTGGTTTTGGAGGGAGAGGCAAGAGGATAGCAAGTTCAAAGCCAGGCTCAGAAACTTAGGGAGGCCCCAAGAAACTTGGTGAGAGCCTGTCTTAAAATAAACCATAAAGAAAAGACTGGGGATGTGGCTCAGTGGTTAGGCATCCCTGGGTTCAGTCCTTGGTACCCAAACCAAAAAATGCAATTGATTTTATTTTAAATTAAAACCACATTTGATTTACCCTGTATGAATGAGTTGGTCACAATTATTGGAAACATAAACAAACAAATAAATAAAGGCTTAAAGAACAGGATGTGTCTGAAGTCATCCTAAATCCAATGAGGGGTTTCTTTGCACAGGCTCATTTGAAGCACTGCTGTACTTAGTAGCTTACCTTATGGAAGAAGATTTTGCTAGGCAGAGAATCTGCCTCTGAGTTCCCTCCAAAGTCAGATGAAGCAGGGACAACTTTGCAAATACCATTGTGAACAACACCTCCTGGCAAACCTGGTGGCATTTCGTCTGGTGCCTAAGGGGAGGCAGCAGCGTGGGATGCTTTGAAACAGTCCCACCATGCTGTTCTTGCTTCTTTGCTTTCACACAAATCTCTATGTGTTGGCAGCATGGAGAGCCCCCCTTTGGGAGAGTCGACAGGCCGCGGCACAAGCCCAGGAGCAGGTTCCTCACCCCTGGGCATGGCACCCACACAGCCGTCTCACGCTGAAGCAGGATATTTTTGGTAAGTTTTGAGGCTCGGAGTCCCTAGGAACAGGCAGAGCCCCTTCCATTTGGGACCCTATGGCTTGTCTCCTCTAGTGGGGCTGTGAGTCTTGGCAGTGGCACTGTGTGCAGTGGAGCAGGCCCAGTCCCTCCAGAGACAATGACCATTCTGTGGCTCTAGGATGAGCAATGGCAGGGCACTTGGCTGTGTGTGTGTGCAGTGGTAGGCTGCATTTGGATGGAGTGTGGACTTGGGAGAGCAAAACAGTGTTACAGAGACTTGGGGCAATGGATACTGGAGTGGACAAAGAAGAAACTCTCTCTCTCTAGAACCCAACATAATTTAAGGACTAGATTCCTACTTCTCCCAGGTTCATGAATTCAGCCTTTCCGCGACCGTTTCCTGGATAATGGTGAAATCATCATATTCATGAGCACATCAAGAGATTTATCTTCCTAAAACAGAATGGTGGGTTTCAGTATGCAATGGCTAACTAAAACTTACCACATTTCTCCAGGAGTGCAGCTGAAAAACAAACAAGTGGAAAAAAAATTAGCTGACATGGGTGAAAATGCAAATTCACCTAACTGATGACCCTTAACTCATTATCACCATGCACAGGTCAACAATTCCTGGTCATGGGAGGCTCAATGTAGTGAAATACTTTATGAATATATTGGGCCGTAGACCAGCTCTGTCAGTGAAAGAGCAGTGAGCATGTGAGAGGAGAATATTCAGGCCCAGGATACATTGTTGCCTACATGATTATTTAAACTAATTTTTAAGCTAATTTATTATTTCACAGAAATAATTGTGTGAGGATTAAATAGATGCCATAGATTCATTTTGATTTCATGGGATCTCAGAATTTGGTAAAGCAGATAGAATCATGCTTTTTCTGGAAATTAATAGCTATGATTCTGGTAGTAGTAAGAATAACATTATCTGTAATATGTGTTCAGGTATTTAAATATGCAAAATTTTAATCTTGAGTGTGAATGATATTATCACCTCAATAGCATTATCATAGGTAAATTGCAAATGAAAAATGCGGCTGAGTGAGATTAAAAAACTGCAAGATCTTGGAAATCTTAAGAACTGAAATAATTTTAAACAGGTCAGTCTGATTTCAGATCCCATTAATACACATTAAAGTCTAATCACCACTTATTTATCTCCTATATGAACCAACATTAATGAATGGATGAATAAATTAAAAGGAACCACAGAAATCACACAGATTTTATTTCCTTCAATGAAACAGTTTTTATTCAATAGATCAGGCACTGTTAGATTTGTATAATGGCTCAGGAAGAAATCTGATTTGTGAATTTTAATACCAAATACTGAATACCAAATAATCGGCTGACTTTTAGGCTGTTTGCTTATTGGAGCGTCTCTGAGTGGATTCCTTCTTAGCTTTCTTCCAGAAAACCTCCCACCTAACCGTATAATGCATTCTCTGCCCTCAAGAAAATGTGACATGCGCAGCACCACCTGAGCGCAGATCCGTTCGGCCTCTCAATTCTTGGCCAGCGTTCAGGTAACATTCTCTCCTGGAACGAGATCTGCGTGCTGGCCGCCTGGGCTTGGCTCTGCCTGGGCTTGGGAAAGAGAGTCCCAGGGCTGATGTCCCTCTCCTCTGACCAGGCCACCCGCTGGCTCACTCTGGACAGCAGTGCAGCCAGCGCTCTCCTTCCTCACCACCGCCTCTCACTCCCAGTCCCTGCTCTTCAGCAACTTGGCCTGGCTGGCCCCTCCTCAGCAGGACCCATGGGCTCACTCCTCCTGCTGTGGGAGGAGTCATTCGTCATCACTGGGGGGCGCGAGGGAGGTGGAAGGGCTGAAGCCCCACACCACGCCTTCCCGCATCCCTGCCAGGACTGTCTACCTTCTATGAATGCTCAATACGGACCTTTCAAATTACCACGATATTGGTTTAATTGTCCCCAAACATTATTTTTAGGTGATTAAAGGAATTGCTAATGGATTTTGGTTTTGTTGCAACAATCACAAAGATCAATTGTGTATATGTCAAACTACTGCATAGGTCAAAAATAAATGTCACTTACCTTTCTCTTGTTCTATTTCTTCTATATATGAAAAAGCACAAAAAAACAATATTAACAAATTTCCTCTTGTTCTTAACCACAGACAGTCCATCCCAGGATTTGGTCTCCATTTGACAACAGAGAACCTGAGACCAAAGCTGGGTGTTCTAGTGTGTATGACACAGAGAGGAACTCATATTACCCGAGTAAGAAGTCATAACACAAACTGAAAAACACTTTTTAACCTGTGAATATATTTATATGGAACAGAATATTAAAAATTTTCCCTTTATGCCTTAAAGTTTTGGGTGAGGTTCTCCTGCTGAGAAAACAGGCAACAATTAGTTACAAACTCTCCATCCTCAACTAACTTTGAGGTACTCAATTCATCACCAAAGTATTAAAGAGGAGAAGACCTGTCAAGTGACCAGGAGCAAATAAAATAACTCAGGGCAGAGCCATCTCTGGATGGTTTCCAGAAGGCCTTGCTTTATTCTGTGGATCAAGAAGGAGGATGCCTCTTGCATTCCACGTAAACAACATGTCTTAGGGAGCTCCAGAAATAGCAAGAGTGTTTCCAGATGCACACCTTAGTGTTTTAAAGTCCTGGCTCTTTAGCCGTCCTGAAGCCTGGGGTCTTCCAAGCTGGACCTTACCTCAGTCTCCACCTTATGCTGATTCTCCTACATAAACAGTTGAAGGTGTCTGGAATTTCCCTGCTCTTCCATTCATCTGCCTCACATTTGGAGTATTTCAGACATCAAGGGTAAACAGATCCTCAGAAGCTTCTTTGGAAGCGTCACAATAATGATCTCTGTTTCGTAGTACCTAGTTCATGTTTTCTCAAAACAGCAGTTAAGCATTTGACCAAATGTGGCCACATAACACATGGTCACTTACACCTTTGATGCTGGCTATAGGAAGATCTACAACCCACTTGCTTTAGGCAGGAATCACTCTCACTCTAAGTCCTTCAGAAAGGCTTCCAGAACCTTTTAGTGGTAGAGATCTGGGGTCATAATTTGTCTAGGAAGTGCAGCCTCCCATTCTGCACACAGGGGACATCTTCTCACATCTCCTCGAAGCCTCTGGTTTACCCAGCACAAAAGCACTGAAGACAGGTCAAGTGCAGATTTGAAAAGAGAAAGAGGAGGACCCTGTCTCAGCAGAGGACATCTCTGTATTGATGACTTCCTCCTCCTCCTCCTCCTACTTCTTCTTCTTCTTTATGGGTACTGGTGCTTGAAATCAGGGGCACATAACCACTGAGACACATTTTCAGCCCTAGTTTGTATTTTATTTAGAGATGTGGTCTCACTGACTTGGTTAGTGCCTCGCTTTTGCTGAGGCTGGCTTTGAACTCGACATCTTCCTGCCCCAGTCTCCTGAGCTTCTGGGAAGCCTCTGGCTCTTCCATTCCCTGCTCTTCCATTCATCTGCCTGGCTCTGTGTTAAGATTCTTAAAGGTAATCCTCTGTGCCCTTGCAACCACTGGCCAGTCCCAATATGTCCCTTTATGGCAAGATGGACAATTTAAAGACTCCCTTTGGAACCACTACTTCTTCCTTCTTAGGTCCTGTACAGTCTGGCTGGTCCCCTATAGGCAGGTGCGTTCCTAGGCAGCTCCTGACCTGACTGTTCAGATGGGACTCTCTGTGGCCCAGAGGAAGCTTGTCAAATGCACATACCAAATTGCTCATACCAGTGTATGACCAAGTCACTATAAAATATTAATTGCCAGGAATAACAGATTATATGAAAAATTAGGTGTTACAGAATATTCAAACCTGAGATTAATAAACAGAATGGATTTCATATTTCTCTTATCCTATCTGATTTGATGGATGGAACTGGAGGCTATCATGCTAATTGAAAAAAGCCAATACCCCCAAACCAAAGGCCTAGTGTTCTCTCTGATATGCAGATGCTGACTCACAGTAGGCAGGGGTGGGAGGAGGGCCATGATTAGTGGGTGGGAGGGAGGGGAGAGAGGACTGGAAAGGCAGTAGAATGAATTAGACAGTCATCACTTTCCTATGTTCATATATGAACACATGACCAGTGAAATTCCACATCATATACAACCACAAGAATGGGAAGTTATTCTCCATGTATGTGTAATATGTCAAAATACACTCTACTGTCATGTATAACTAAAAAGAATGAATAAAAAATATATAAATCAATAATCACTTTAAAAATGAATTTTAAAAATCATTCCATGAAATTCATCAGCCAGACACAAAATGATTTTGAGAAACATTAAATGATTGATTATATGTCATTTCTCCTTAAATATGTCTATAGATTAAAAAAAATACTAATCAATATCTGCCTCAAAAAAAGATTCATTCTTCCACTCAACAGTTAGTTATATATCAGCCAAGGGCCAGAAACTCAGCAGGCTACCAGGTCTAGCAGTGAAGGAGAGGTAGCCCCACCTTGTCACCTGTACAGACCAACATGCAAGGTGACAGGACAAGCAAGAGAATGGGAGCCCGGGGAGGGCTCCGTCCCACCCCAGGGGGAACAAAGAGTTGCCACTCTCCTAGAGGGAAGGCAGAGCTAACCTGGAGGTGACCGAGGACACACAAGTTCCAGATGGGAAAAAAGCAAGTCCAAAGACCTACAAGAGGGCAAATATTATAAAGGATAAAGCTGACAGTGAGAGACATTGGCCAGATGGAGAAGTAGGAGGCACCAGGCCCCACCTTTCCTCACAAGCAGTGAGGTGGCTATTCCCAAACAGGAATAGCTCTGCAGGGGCCCCAGCAAATGATAACTCCAAAGGAAAGATCACCAGGAAAAATCAACACACTTGAGATATATGGAGAGGCTGATGGAGAAGGGCTGCAGCTATATGTGTCAGCCAAGTGGGGTGCGACCAGGGACCCGGAGGTCTGTGTTGACAGTGTAAAGACATGGTAACCACGTGTGGAATCCATCTATAGACTTAACACAAAGCCAAAACACAGATTAAAAGCAAGGGCATAGCCACAGCAAATGGTCAAGGGACACATAATATAAAAAGATAAAAATTGTGACATATACTTTCAAGAGGTGTGTTGGTTAATGGAGTTAAGATGTTGAGTTTCATTTTGCCCAGTTCATTTCTTTGTGGTCAGTTAAGTTCCTGTTTGCTTAAAATAGTTTGTTAAAACTATGTTTTCTGTAAGCCTCACAGGGACCACAAAGCAAAACTTTTAAGAGATGCACAAAAATCCAACAGTGAGGAGTTAGGATACTGTGGGAGAAAATCATTTAATCACAGATGCTAGGAGGAGAAAAGTGAGAAACCAGTAAGAAAACAGGCCCATGGCAGCAGCAAGCCCTGTTGCCATTGACTGCCTGAGTGCAAGGGGGTTGAATCCTCTCATTAGAAGACAGAGTGGCTGGAGGCATTGGAAACAAGTCGCAGCTGTACACAAACCACAGGAAAGTCACTTCACCCATAAGGACAGATACACCCAAAGTGAAGTGATGGAAACTGTCTCATGCCAGTGAAACCAAGAAAGAACTGAGTCACCTAGACTAATATGGACTTTAACTCAAAACCATGTGGAGAAACAGAGAAGAACATTAGCCATGACATGTTGATATAGCAGGGAAAGCTACAGCTCTATAGGTATACACCACCTTGTACAGCTGGAATATATGCAAGCTTTATTTGTCCTGATACCTCAACAAAGCCAAAAATAACAAGGTTGAAAGAGATAAAAAAATTAAATTAAAATATATTGTGAGAAAAATCATTAAAATATGGATAAATGGGTCAATAGTTTCAGATATTTTCTTTTTTTTTAATTTTATTACATAAGATCAGGAAAAAGCCTTTAAAAAATTTCAGAGTTGATTCTGTGATACATTTGGTTAGTATTTTCCAAAATAATAAAGCAAAATAATATTAAGGGAGAAATTGAAAACTGAATCACAAGAAAAATCAAGGTGAAAATTAATCAGAATTTTGTTGTTGATGTATTCACCTAGAAACAATCATAGAAAAGGCCAACCAAGAATATGCATCCAGGTTTAGGGTTATGGTTAGGATTAGGGTTATGCTTTATGTGGCCTTAAAAAAAATAAAATCATTTAATAAGCTGAGATATTCACAGTGAATATGCTTCAGTGTGATAATCTTAAAATTAAAATGTCTGTGTGACTACAATTCATAATATTATCAATGATAATTTCAGCAGATAAATGACATAAATACACTTTAAAATAATTGATGATTATTATGTCTAAATTAATTGTAACATAACTTTAATATATCAAACATTTTTCCACAGTATGTTTGCCTCCAAAACGTAAAGAAATTGTACTCACCTTTCTGCTTAATTAGCTGTTCTGTATGAAATGAGATAAGTAATAAACAAAGATAAGTCCACAGCTATCAAAGTCTGGGAGACTTGCTAGAGAAGCAATCTTGACTGGATTCTTTCAAGCCATGACTTTGTAAAAGATTAGCCAGATATGAGATAAGAATGAGGACAAGGCAGAAGAGATGCTGAGACGGTGTTTCCTCATCATCCCCAGGTGGTTTTCTGAGACTTGCAAAGCACTGTGGAGGGCCATTGCCCTGTGGCCTGTGTCCACCCTTGCCTCACGTTTCTGCTCTTTTCTGTGGGGCTCCCTGTAAGATATTCCTCAAAGAACTCATCTGGTTCTTCTGTGAGACCTGAGCACTAAGGGACAGGGACAGGGTCCCAGGCCCTGGGCAGGAGTAGGTATGGAAAGAGTGGAAAGAGTCAGGATGCCCTGGACCAGCCAGTCTGTCTCCAGGGCCACAACTGGAAGAAATCCTGGGCATTGCAAAGATGTTTTTGTCCTTGAGCACTTCATAGGGTGTGACTTGGTGATGATAAAGAGCAATGATTCTTTGGTTATTGGTGTGTGGGCATGGGGAAGGATTCTAAATCCCAGAGGGTTAGAGAGGATCCTCCAGGCACAGAGAGGCAAATGCAAAGAAGGCACTTCACATACAATTAGGGAGCCTTCCTTCTTCTCAAACCCAAGGAAAGGAGT